AACTAATAGGAACACTGTAGGAGAAACATATAAAGAAGCATAGTAGAAGAAACTTAATAAGAACACAGTAGGAGAAACATATAAAAACATAGTAGAGGAAACTAATAAGAACATGGTAGAAGAAGCTTAACAAGAACATAGTAGAAGAAACATAGTTGAAGAGACACACAAAGAACACAACAGAAGAAACATAGTAGAAGAAACATAGTTGAAGAGACACACAAAGAACACAACAGAAGAAACATAGTAGAAGAAACACACAAGAGAAAAAGGAAAATCAGAGAAACATCTAAATAACTCAAAAGCCTAGATCGGAAAAAAATAAGGGTTTTGAAAGCATAGTTTTGAAAGAAATGTCAAGAAGTCATTTAAAAGTTTTAGGGGAAACATGGATCTAGAACAGATCTAAAGAAATCAGAAGAACCTCAAAAGCTAGGGTTTCAGAGGAACCCAAATGGTGAGAAAGGCTTGGATAGTCGTTGATCTAAGTAGGAGGAGTCGAGGCCAGGCTCGAACAGACATGGCTTGCCGGAGCAAGGTCGGAGATGGCCANTTGGGTTGGGGTCTGTTTGATTTTAGGCTAAATTTGAAAGCCAAATTTGGCTACAAGTTAAATAACCCCTTTTCCCCTTTTAATTTATAGAAAATAGTAAATAAATTTCTGAAAACAAATTGAAAGCACTAAAATAATATATAATTATCAATTTAAAAAATATAAGATCCCATTTTATAAACATGAGACGAATTTAAACCTAAAAATGGATAATATTGCAATTATGCAATTTTAACCTTAAGAATACTAAATAAATTTGTAAAAAAATATATCTTAGCTATATTTTAGTGTAAACATGAGACTCCAATAAATGAATCACAAAAATGATAATTTTGGGGATAATTAGTGGGTTTTTCTTGATAAAATAGGGCAGTGAATTGATTTAAAAATCTTTGAAAAATTAAGGAAAAATAATGTAACCTTGAGATATAGTTATATATATGCATATATAGGCTATTTTGAAGGTATTTTGCATATTTAAAAAATACAGGAAAAAATTGGGTATCAACTGGGAGGAAGAAGAAGATGATTCTGATGTTGAGAAAGACAAGTTAGCCAAGTTTGGCAAGAGAAATATCTTGAAAGGCAGACTCCTCAGGGACTTGGAGGAGGAAGGAATGGTGCTACTTTTGGAAAAGTTACAATTACAAGCTGAAAGGACATGGTCCTTCAGATGGATGGCAAGTTGGCCAGAAATGAATTTGTAGAGTTTATGGCGAATTGTGAGGTAAAAAATGTAAGGGTCACCAGTGTAGTGAAAGGATGCAAAGGAGCTGGGAGATATTTTGGGTGTACTCCTGAAGGGTACAGTGACTATAAGAAGCTCAAGTGGCCAAGCCTAGAAAATCTTCCTACTCCCCTTGCCATTACTAGAAAATTCAGTGCTAATGAAGAGGAACTTGAGCCCAAGGCTGTTTACAAAAGTGAGATGAAGCCACCCCACAAAGTGTTGTTCGAATTTGTCAACAAATGTGCGTTGCCAAGGCAGGAAAGGAGGCATATTGCCACATTCATGGATTTGGTCCTCATGGACTGCTTGGACAGTGGGAGGCAGATTAATTGGCCTGGGTTTATAATCCAGCTTCTTGACAGGGTTCTAAATGGCACCAAGACTCGTGCCATACCCTATGGCTTTATTCTCACAGTTGTACTTACATATTTCAAGGTACCTATGCAAAAGTGGGAGGTTGTCACAAGTAAGGATCATTTTGGGGAAAATACTGTGAGTGCTTGTGACTATGAAGTCTAAACCACTCGTAACAACCTTTTTACTAAGATTCTTGTCTAACTTTTCCACCTGATCCAAGAACAACCTAAGTGTTCAAAGGCTCATCAATCATTCATCATTATCACAAAGAATATCCACAGATCTCACTCCTTTTCGGGTGACTCATACATTTTTATTTATTTAAATACCATTCATTGCTACTTATTATTATTTAATGCTATCTCCCATCTTTTTGGATCATTAAATATCGTTATTATTGCTCACATTTATTGCCACCCACTCAAATATATATACTATCAATCATAAAATCGATAATCTTGTCTTTTGGATATTAATATTATCTAAGATTAATCTTATTTTATTTAAATTTAATTGGTTGAACCCGGATCTAAATTTTTGGATCAAACAATAGGTGTGTCTGAATTGTTGTAGCCTTATGTATGTAAGAGGGCTAAGCATATTATCAGGTAATATTCATATAGTGAGAGTCATTATCGGTACTATTGAATTAGTTCAGTCTAAACGAGGTGGCTACTTTACTCTTTCATTATCGTGTTGTAATGACTTTGTGCTAGAGTCCATTCTTTTAGCAAGTGTTATTTAAATACTTTAACCTCTTTGTTCTTTCATTTCACAAGTCACGATCTATTAAGCTATATATCCTATTTTCATATTGAATTTTATGCATCAGAGAGCTAGAAAACAGGAAAATATCATAGTAATGATATGAAGTGAATATGAGATTAAAGTTGCATGTATTTATAAAGCATTTGGAAGTTACGTTTGTTTGATGATTGCAATTTATATATCGGATGTGACAATTGCGAGTTATATGTCGCATTCTACAATTGCGATTATATCATCGCATTTCACATGTCGCATTAGGGAATTGCGATTTATCGGTTGCAATACTCCAGAGTCCAAACCAGTCTCTGCTCCGAATTCCATAATGTCGAATCTGCACTTTTGGATCTCTGTTTCTCCAGCCAATTATGGTTTCGAGTAATCGACTTCCATGTTTGTGTTGGAGCTTGAGATGTGATGGAAGCTTTTGTTGCTTTTCCAATCCCACCTTCAAAAGGTTTGCAAAGTTCGAAAAATATTAGGCGTCTTGTATTCCAATTATAATTACTTTGTTTCTTTGATGAAATTATTGTTTTGAACTTTTTCTTATGCTTACTGCTTTCTCATTAAAAGCTACTATATATAAAGGTTTTCTGTAGACCTATTGCAATTGAAAACTATAATAATTGAAACATTAGTGTAAGATATGTGAAAAATTTATTCATCAGAGCGTTTTTTGTTTTGTGCTTGTTTGCATGCACTTCTGCAGGAAGCAAAAACACATAACCGGACGTGTCAAATGTGGATAAAAATGATGTTTCTGCCATGGCGTTGACATTGTAGGTGTGTCTGAATTGTTGTAGCCTTATGTATGTGAGAGATCTAAGCGTATTATAAAGTAATATTCCTATAGTGAGAGTCATTACAGCAAGGGATGTAATTCCTGGCAAAAGCTGTTATCACCCCTGAATTCTTGGCACAGATTGTACAACAGCAAAATGATAGCAATAGGTGGAAGGAAACAAGAAATGCAGGATTAAACAAGATTTTCCTTGAGATGATCTTTCTGTTAGCCCTGCTGATGGACAGATTGTGAAGTACCAGCCTGTAATGAATGAGGCGGCAAAAGCAATGCTCAGGCAGATAATGAAACAAGATTCTTCCTGAAAGTGTAGTCATTTGTGATGGTTCACCCCAATCCAATGCCCTTGACAGTGGAAGTTCCAACCGAGTCACTCTTCAGGAAGTTCCACCCACTTCTGCCCAGCCATTTGCAATTGCAACTTCAGCTGTTGCTGGTCAAAGTTTCTCCAAAGCCCACTTCTTACCGAGACAGAGGAGATGGACTTAAGATATTAAGATTACTGAAACTAAGCCACAAGAAAATGCATGGGACAGAGCTCAGCACATGGAACATCTTACTGAACAAATGGGGCTACAAACATCAAACAAAAATGTAACTTGAGGTAATCCAGAAATCTTATCTCTTAATGTTTTGGGTCATGGGCAACTTCCCATAATTAAGATAGTAGCTCTAATACCTGCTTTCACCTTTGTCCTGGATTTCTTTGCAGATATGGTAATTACTCAGTAGCTTCGTAATTTCCCACTGTATAAGCTCTCTGGTCATACAAGTATGTAGAAACTACAAGCCTTTTAATGCTGCTAACTGGCAGATCCTTTTAACCCTTATTTACAACGTCAGAGCTAGCCTCTCAACTACGGGTTCGGCCGAATCAAGTAGCTTTGGTCCAATTTCTGTATTTGTCTTATGAAATTTATGAATATGTAGTAATTATTAATTTAGAGTCCAGTAACTTAAAACAATTAGAACCCCGAACCCATAACCTTTAAATTCTGGCTCCGATTGTGCTTAGGTATACTAGTAGTCTGTTAGCAACATCCTTGCAAGGAGTTGACATGAAATGAATATTTTCACGTTCATTTATCTTTATGTGATTATGTTTCATTCATCTTTCTTTGCAAGATTTTTGAAGAGATAATTTATTGGTTGTCTTTCTCTTTGTCTAGATAAAGACATAAGAGAAAAGTGTCATGCTCTTTGTCTTTAGTAGCTATAAATGTGTCAATGATTGGAAACTATCCGATTTTAGATCCAGCATCGTAGTTTATATTTTTAACAAAGTTTGACTTGGTGATTAAAGCAGAGTTTTTGAGATTAGAAGAGATTTCAAGTCCAAGTCTCACTAAATATATTGTACTGATTGTTGACTAACTGACGATGTCAATTGCACCAAACTATATTAATTGACACTGGTTAAGCGATCAAATAGTCTAAGAGATATGCATAAGACTCTCTGTCCAAATAGTCTTTTTTTCTTTGTTTAATTTTTTTTATCCCTTTATAACAATCTTTATCTGATTTAATCAAAAGGCATATCTTTGTGATGAAAGTGAAAGTATTGAGTTAAAGGATCTCTAAAGGTTGGCTCAATATTTAATTAGTCGCCAGAATCTATGCTTTATCTTAGAAAGCAAATGAAACAAGAAGATTATTAAAAGATGGTTATTATCTTCAAGTAATCAAAAACATCCAAGAATATTTCCTTTTTTTCATATGAAGCAAAGAATGAGTATCAAACAGATAATACTACTTATATAACAATTGTGTATGGGTTGTGTATGTTTAAGTGCTTCATTTTATTTTCTATCAAAACTCAGAGATTAAAGATGATGTTAAGGAAGTTTGGAACATCAATTTTCGTCCTCAGTTTTTTCTTTCTTGCTTTGGGGAAAGAGGTTTCAATCAAGGCGAAGAGTGAGAGCCTTTCAACAAAGAAGAAGGTAGGAGAATTTATTAGTACTTTCACAATTTGAAGATTGATATAAATTTGTTTGTCGATTAACTTTTATATACTGGCAACCCGGCGCACAAAACGTCTCTTATTCACATAGGGTCCGGAAAAGGGTCGCACCTTAAGGATGTGATGTAGACAACCTACAGTATTAGAGTTTAACTTTTGCGCATTGACAATTTGTAATATTGTTTTACACTGTTGGTAATTAAGTTACCATTGTTCTATATCCTTCACTTTCATTACATCGATGTGGATTCAGGAGCGTAGGACGTTGCTTGAAACAGTGTCATGTGACAGTGCTTCACCGATTTTTTTTTTTTTTATAATCTGCATGAATAAATAATAAATAAAATTAAAATATTGGGTATAAATATAAAAATGACATTGTTTGTCATTACAGTAATTTATTAGTTTGTTCACTTCTTCAAATATTGACACTGCTTATAAAAATTCCTGTATATGCCTCTGTGTGGATTGCCACGTGAAATAACAATTGGACTTTTTCAGACACATGTAATTCGTGGTCTAATAATTAGACAATAACTTGCTTCGAACATAGGAGTAACAAATTTGTAGCAAGCATGATTTGGTAACATGAAAGATATATAGATGAAATAATATATTATAACATGTTAAATTACATTGAAAATGCAATCGTAATTCTTCGTATTTTCAGTGTATATAACTTAAACCCCACAAAAAATAAAAGATCATGTACATCGCGACTTTTCACTTTACTGAATCCGTAACATAGTAAAGGGCCGGACCAGAAGGGTCTATTGTACGCAGCTTTACTCTGCAATTCTGCAAAAGGCTGTTGCCACGGCTCGAACTCGTGATCTCCTAGTGACATGACAATAACTTTACTGTTACGCCAAGGATCCTTCTGAATCCGTAACATAGTAATGTTGCAAATTACTAAGTTGGTTTTGACTGAAAATATATTGTTGTCCTGATAATTGCAGGAGAAATGTACCTATTTTGTGACAATAGAGACAACATGTACAAAGGGTGCAGAAACCTCAAACCATGTAAGCCTAAGGTTTGGTGATGAAAAATCCAATGACATTTTAGTGCACCATTTGAATTCCAAGCATTTGAGAAAGATTGATCCATTGGAACCACAAGTTCTTGATGATATTCCCAGAAAACCATTTCAAGCTTGTATTACAGATCAGTTTCAAGTCACTGCTCAATGCGTCGAATCGCCAATTTGCTATCTCTATCTTAAATTGGCTGGAACTGATGACTGGCGTCCTGGTTTTGCTCAAGTTCAAGTAGTAGAAGGGCCTCATTTTAGCTCAAATACATTCTATTTTCGACGATATTTGCCTCGTCGAGTATGGCACGGATTGAACTTGTGTGAAACAGAGGTCACACCTTTTGGAGTAAAGCTTAAGAGAAAAGTATTTGGAAAAAGAGTTCCATAAGCCTTTCTGTCATGTGCAGCAGCGGCTTAATTAGCGCATGCAAGATCTTGTATAAGCGGTAGTTTATTAAACTAAACTTGTATGTTCCGGTTTAGGGCGGTACATGTTCTAATATTTTACTTCCAAATTGATGTAGGAGTGAGCATCGGTCGGTTCGGTCGGTTATTATAAAAATAATTTTCGGTTTATCGGTTTTCGGTTTTGTAATATTAATAACCAAATCAAACCAAAGTATTTACGGTTCGGTGCGGTTTTTCCAAAGTTCTATTCGGTTATTCCCGGTTTATATTTTCGGTTTCAAACGGCTGTAGACTTGTAGGAACAGCGAAGTCTGTCCTTATATAATTATGTACAATACAATTAAATCTACCACATATATGCAAATAATAAGCAACGCCTTTCAAATTAACATACAATACCACCTTCATTGCAATACTTCACAGACTAAAGATGCATCAAATACTAAAATATATGAACTGGCCATCTTGACATTGACTACATTCAAAGAAACAGATAATAAACTGCTCACAATCTACTTCCAGAAAAAAGATGGATCTTGTACTGGAAAATCCACACATGGACCTCAATAAAACAGTATTGATATAGAATGGTACCATAACCAGGTTTCACAATTTCATTCACTAGAAACTTCTATACCGAGTAAAAGTGGAAGCACTTTAAGCAAAAGCATAGTATCTACTGATTAGTCAAATGTAAGTGATATTTTTTTCTAAATAAAGCAAAATTTGCCGCTTCTTTTCCTTCTTCTCTTTTCCATCAGATGATTTAACTTACTACTTTTTCTTTCTTCTTCTTCTTCTTATTATTATTATTATTATTTGATCTATTATTGGCAAACCATGAGATAAGATTATATATAAAAAAATGTCTAAATGGTATATTTTATATGTAGTTTGTTTGATTGTGAAGTTTAGGTAAATAAACTTGGGGTTTAAGATATTTGCTATAAAAGTGATTCGTTTTGTTTGATTATGAAGTTAAAAAATGAGTAGACTTTTTCCATGGAAAAATCATTAAAATCTTGATTTCGAATGGCTGCTTTAATTTTCTCTTCTTTTCTTTTTAAAATTGCATAGAGCATTTACTTTGTTTTAATTTGTTTCTGGGATTGGTTTCATTTTAGGTCAGTGACTTTCAATATTTTGGTTCCTCCCAATGCCTCTGCTAAAGTTACTTTGTAGTCCTAATAAGGTCATTCCCCTCTCTTTTGTAAACGTCGTGGGGCTTCTCGTTGATTACAAACACCAGGTCTTTACATTGCAAACACCAGGGGATTCAATGGGTCGATTACAAAATTTCGTTTTTCGGTTTAACAGAAAACCGAAATACAAAAATCGCAAACCGCACCGAAAAATCGAAAATTAATAATTTTAAAATCGTGCACCGACCGAAAAACCGAAATTCACGATTCAGCCAATTTTTTCGGTTCGATCGGTATTATGCCCACCCCCAAAATTGATGTTTATATTTTGTTATTTTGCAAGCGAAAATAATTTATGTATGTCTTTGCGCGAGCAAAAAAGTGTGAGATGACGCCCCTTGTAAAGTAAAAGGGTGTCTCTGCCATTGGTCCTAGGGACATTAATATGCAAGTGATACACAAAAATTTTAAACAATTAATAACTTATTATGATTAATTGAATTCAGACATAGGTTTGCCTTTTGAAACTGACATTAATTTGGTGTCGCATTCAACAAATATTTCATGTTATTTAGTTTAGTTTGATATCCTGGCTACTACTTTCTCTTCTTTTTCGTCGTTGAGATAATACATAATTACCTCATTGGGTTGTACCAAGTGCCAGTTGCACCCCTTGAAAATGGTGTCCTATGACCCCTGGTTTTATTTGAACGGTAATAAATATCCCTTTTTTAGCTGATGTGGCGCTTGATGTGTTTTACACTTGACGACAGCACATAAAACCCCCAAAAGTATCATTTTTCATTAATTTTTTTCTTTTCTTTTTCTTTTTCTCTTTCTCCCTTTCTTCTTTTTCTTTTCTTTTTTTTCTTACTGTTTTCTTCTTCTTCCATCCGCCATTTCCCGCACTTTAACCATATTCATCTGCAAACAATAGCTGCTTTTCCTTCTTTTTTTTTTTTTACTTTTCTCTTTTTTTCCTTTCTTTCTTTTTCTTTTGTCGACAGGTTTAAGATTCAATATATAAAATGGATATGCCATGACTCAAGTTTGCTTTTACGGGTTAAAAACTTTTCTTTCCCTTTCAGAAGATGTGAAATGGAGGTGGGATTGACGGGAATTTGTAATTGGATGCATAGAATATCCTTGACTAATCCTCGAATTTTGGAAAAAATAGGGCTTATTCTTCGAATACTCAAAAATACTGGCAAGAACAATAGAGAGAATGAGAAAAGATTAACAATGGAGGTTCGCCGGTCAAAAAACCTCTCATGTTCTACCAGAAAAATATGATTCTAACTTGGTGTCAAGTTTGATTTCAATTCTTGAGTTTTTCTGATGATTTGGAATACTTTTGATGGGTTTTGATTGATTTCTATTTTTATTTCAAGAAATCTTGAGTTAAACGGAGTGCCTGTGGAAATTTCCGGCGAGGTTGAGCTAGTCGGAGAAGAAGGTCCCAAAAGCATAAAAGATAAAATTAAAATAATGATAAAAATAAAAATAGTGAAAAAGAAATGATGTGGCACAATCTGGTTGGTGCGTGTATTTCACTGATTTTCTTGAAACTAGTGGTCAGCTAAAAAGGGGTATTTATTACTGTTCAAATAAAACCAAGGGTCATAGGACACCCGTATTTTTAAGCAGTGCAACTGGTACTTTGGTACAACTCATGTTGCCCTCTTTTTGTCATACAAATATTGCGGCTATAATTTGTGAAAATCAAAGACTATGCAAACAGTTTTTAAGAAAAAGATTTTGCATCCAAACTATTGAAAGAATCAACAACAACAATCCACAAGCGGAGTTTGGAGAAGGTAGTGTGTATGCAGATTTTACTCTTACCTTTAAACCAAAGAGATTGTTTCCGATAGATCCCTCACTCAAGAAAAAATGAAAATGAGCAACAAACAGTACAACAACAAAATAATAAGATAACAAGCGGAATAATCAATAATAGGCTAACTACTAATACTAATGGTAAGGGGAAAGAATCAATTAAACTATTGAAAAAATCAATTAAACAAAATTTAAAAAATAAAAAGAGCTGCTAATATTTTTCTAAAACCAACCAAAAACAGCTGATTTGAACGGAGCCTAATCTATGGGTCACAAGTTCAAACCGGGAAAGTAGAGCCATAAATACTTGCATTAGGGTAGGTTGTCTACCTCACATCTTTTGGGGTGTAGCCTTTCTCCGGACTTTACGTGAATACGGGATGTTTTATGCACTAGGCTGCTTTTTTAAACCAAAAACAACTGATTTATCATCTACGGGATCGCAAGGGAACCAAAACAACTGATAAATTATCCGTGCTGCCTTCTAAAAATGCTTTCAGAATAAGGTCTTTGGCCAATATTGATGGATCTGAATAATGCTCTACTTTATTAAGAAAATCACAAACTTTTTGTGGACTTAAACTTTCAAATATCCCATCAGATGACACTACCAAAAACTCATCTTTTGAAGTCAAATTAACCCAATCAGTCACCTCTGGAGTAGCTATTATTCCATATTTTTTCAAAGGAACATTACCAATAGCTCGAGTCATAGGAAAATGGCCATTGAGCAGAGGAACATCATTAAACGTCCGACTAAATTTACCTCCAGACGCTTCAATTCTAGCCCTCTCATCCAACCTCAGCGCGTTATGATCTCTTGTCAATTCATTAACGAGATCACCAGCCAATTCCCCGCGTTGATCATTCTTAGAGCAAATAAATGCCTTTGAATCGACAACATTAGCAACTAAAACATGATTGTTATATATAAGAGCAACAACCGCAGTAGATCCTGAATAGAGTTCATGTTCGATAGCAATCTTGGAAAATTCTGTATCAATTTCCTCAATGGTTTTTACTAATGATGTTTTTAAAAATTCCATAAATTCATGACCATTATAATTCTTAAGGTGAAACTTAAACTTTTCCAAAAAGATTTTTGAGGCCATTTCACTAGCATATTCTCCAATATGACCATCAAATACTGCTACAACACCAATATTTATCTCTTTGTGCCCAGAAAAGGGAATTTTAAGATCAAGATCGCATGTTATTCGATCTTCTTGGTATGATCTTCTCCATTTGTTTGAGGCAAAGTGACAACTTTTAGTTGGAATTGGCTTTGTTTTTTGTGGAACAATTTTTTCTTCAGGTTTAGGTACCTTAATGTTCATAAAAACTCCAATGAGGCAGGCAATAAAAATTTCCACATATGATAATACTCGTCATCTTCCAAGATCCGACTTGTTTCTTGTTTGAATTGCGTACAGCATCGCGACGTCGGGCCATCTCTACCAAGGAGATCAGGACAATATTGAAGTTACTCAGAATTTTGAGATTGTAATAAAATAAATAAAATACCAATAAAAGGAGAGGCAAAAACCCTAGCGCTTGCTGTTTGGCTAAGCTTATAAGCTGGTCAAACTGGCTTATAAGCATTTTTTGGCTTATTTACGCGTTTGATAAAATTAAAAGTGCCTATAAGCCAAATATAAGCCAAAAGCCATAAGTTGCTTATAAGCACTTAAGTTTGACGAAAATATTTACTATTCTATCCCTAAAAAACTTTTTTTTAAAACAAAATTCTTCGTATACCCAGTTCTTCAGCTGCATATTATTAATTTCAGCACTTTTATCCAAACACATAACTGCTTATTTTTAAAATCAGTTTTAACACTTAAAAATATTTTTCAGCATATAATGCTTATCAACTATTCTAAATCAGCTAAGGCAAACAACCTCTAAGTATAGAATTCTCAATATTCGACTATACTAGGGTATCCTCGATTTGAAAGAAATTTGTACTACTTGGGTATTAAAATAGCTAAAAACGTTTGTGTGTACACGATGTTGACATCAAATCAATAAACGTAATACATGTGTCTTAACGCGTACTAATTCTTGTCTATTAAGGATTCTCAATGACGAATTGCTATAATAGTGAATTTTTTTAGGACTTGGATATACACACAAACGCGTTCAAAAGAAATAGATGTCCTTTTTTTTGGGCGT